TCAATGAATGAAGTTTATTTCGATGCTCGAAATTTTCGATCGATGCCCGAATAATTATTCACCGATTCCACTCTCTAATTGAGATATTACGTCTCTGATATTATAATCTGTATAGGATATTATAAGAGTATTTTTAATCAATTTGGTACAGTAATTGGTTAACTCGAATAGATTGTTGCGCATGGAATATATAATATGTAGAATATCAAAGATTCCAAATTAACATACAGCACATATATACTAAATTATTATTGCGCAAGTTAAAAATAGTTTAATGACCGGTTTTAGTGAGCCGTCATCTAAATAATGTTAAATATACATTATAATACTATACAATTTCAATGCTCTAATTGCGTGGAAATTTAAATAGTGCATTAAAGAACTATCGCTATATTAAAAAGTTGTAGATCATGGGATTTAAATTATATATTCCCGGGTAGGTGAAAAGTCCCTATACAGGTCCTTTTTTTAATCACTGATATACTGCTGTACTGTATTTTTTGGTTCATTTTAACGGTTATACCCGTTTGTACACTACGTACATAGATATTAAAATAATAAATTATTAAATATTAGCGGAGATAGTAAAAAGGTCCCGTGTAGGGACTTTCGCCCACTCGGGTATATATGCTGAATTTGGGATCTTCATTTGAAAGTATAAACCTTATATATATATATATATATATACTTGTTATAAACTCTAACCTAATCCTAATTCAAAGAAATTTTCATATTTAAATAGGTCAAAATTTCAGCATCAGCCGCAATTTATATTATTAGCAGTTAGTGACTCGAATAATTCGATTCGAATTATGATTCGTGAGATTCGTTTTAAATTGTAAGAGTACCATAATGGAAAACAGAATTTCGGTAATCATTGAAAATTTTAATAATTTGTGATTCAATAATTCAAGTAAATTCATTCAATCAGATGATTCGAGTATTCTTCTGAGCTTAATTTATACTCACTCGCTGAATTATATGATTAATGAAATGATTTGGACCACATCGAGAAATTTTGGAAATTTTGGAAATTTTGAATTCGTTGAGATGAATCAATCTTTAAACAGAAAACGCCACTTTCCGGGATTTCCCGGTGCCTGGTTTGAATTTCTGATATTTTGTGTATATAACTAAGAATTTTAGAATCACAGAAATCAAAATCACTTGATTAATGGCTAACTGAAATAAAACATGGACAATCAAAATCGGTATCAGGTACGTACGTACGTACAATATCTGGTATCAGGTATGTGGACTGAATTAGTTAGTTACCCAACTAAACTTAAAGCATATGTATTATGCGATTACACGACTTTTTGCGTGATTTAGCCAATTTCTTTAATAGTAAATCTTTTAAAGGCAAATTTACATCAATAACCTTGTTTATAAAATCACGGTATCTTTTATCTTAAATTTGAAAGAAATAGGGACCAATTTTTCTTTCATTACTTTAATATATAAATCCAAATTCTATACTGATAATGTTAAAATAATTAGACTTAAAGGCTTCGGATTTAACCGAAATTTCGGATCCGGATCGGTTTGGCTCAATCCCGGATCAAACCGGTTTCAATCCAATCGAAAACTACATATATGGGGTCTTTGCAGTAGAAATGGTAGAAACTACGGATTCAGGCAAATTTTGAAAGAGAAACGATTTTCATAGTAAAAAAAAAAAAAGAAAAAAAGCCATTTAGTTTTTAATGCAGTAATGCTGCAAATTATCGATCTTTCATGCACGTGATCAAATTTTGAACTTGCACTTTCCTCTTTCTGCAAAGACCCATATAAATGTGATCTGGGTGCCAGCCTTTAAATTGTGCAGAATTTGCACGTTTTTAATATGATAATCAATAACGGTGATAATTCTGATCAGTGGTAACCCCATAGACTTTTTTGTATATCAGGCCGATTAAAAAAACTCAATTAAATTATTGATAAACCCCCACTAATGACGTAAATATGTGTAATGCCAATGAACAAAGTTATCTTTAACGTTTAAAGTTATTTTCCCAATGCTGATATATAACAATAGTATATACTAACTAAAAAGGGTAGAAAGATGTTATAATCATTTTTGCAATTAAAAATTAACGTTAACTACACACGTACTGTAAATGATAAATCCCGAGGTATTTCAAATACATCTCGCAAATAACAGAAAATAAAGTTACAAATCTGGGTGATTATTTGCATATCAAGACTAGAGTGTCCAGGGGTATAATTCTGCTCACGCTAGAGTTTAGAACCGTATTCGGTCTTCGATTTTAAAACCGATTTTATTCGATTCAAATTTGAATTCGAATATGAGATTTATTTAATACGAAGACCGGTTTTAATAAAACCGGAGATATTCGGATTTATACAATACAATAAGTTAAAATTCAGTCAATTGGGGTTATGAGAAATTATAAAAGTATAATGAGGTACTATGAGGTTAATTAAAAGTATAATGAGGTACTGTGAGTTTAATCAAACATCTAATTTGTTGCGTAATATATGATATTTATAACCATAAAATCGGATATAATAAAACCGGTTAAACCGAAGCAACCAAATATATTAAAACCAGATTAAATTCGAAGCTTCACATTCGAATTAAATAAATTCGGATTTAAAAATCAAATCCGGTTCCAAACTCTAGCTCACGCTAAAAATACACATTGTAATTTGATTTAGAAAGTGATTTAAATCACGTGTTTCTTATGAGAACAATATAAAAAATTATTTTTAGCGTGAGCAGAATTATGCACCACAGTACCTTGGACACTCTAACCAAGACGTACGTACGTATATGTTTATATATATAGTATTTTTTAGTGTAGGTTTTCTTTAAGACGCACGAACCGAAATGCAGTAGTCAATTTTGTATTTAACTAGGTAATTATTCGGCAAATTCTAAACATTATTTTTGTATGCCCTGATGCAAAACAAAACTATGAATTATGCAATTTTTATTGCATAAATATTATTCTCCCATAGGTTCAATAAAGAATCATAAGATTACAAAGAACGCGTCATAACTAAATCGAGATTCTATTGTATACATTCTGTACATACGTTCCTAAAAAATAATGATAGATAGGCGAATTCAGTATCGCAAAAATCCTTATCGGAAGCACAACAATTGTACTTGCAGTTGTTCATTGTTCGTTTTTTTTGCGCCGATTTGATAGATTACAAGAAGAGTCTGTTATATAAATACTCCGCATCTGCATCTCTAATAAATAAAAACTTTTCATAGTAAATAATTGTTTAATCATAGTCGAATACTATGGAAGTAGCTTTAGAGTCATTAGAAGAGCCTGATCATCTAGCATCGGAAGAACAACCATTATTATCGGATGAAGACCGTACTACTTGTGATACAGGAAGTACTATCGAAACTGAAACTTACGACTCGTATGGAGAAGAGGAAGCAGTAGTTTCAGGCTCAAGTTGGGCTGCATATGTCAATGTAATGTAAGTATTGCGAAAAAATGTTTATTATTGCATATATCGATATTATTTATCGATACTATTTTTGATTCATAGTTGCGTGGTGGCAGGAACTGGAATTTTAGGTTTACCATATGCAATCAAACAAGGTGGTTGGATAGCTATGAGCCTGATCGTTTTGTCAACGTTAATCACATTTCATACCAGTGTCATTTTAATAAAATGTCTATATTATAAAGAGTATGTGTCTTTTCTTTGTTTCTTTACGTTTTCCACAAATTGTGTCTCATTTTTTTTAAAAAAATTTAGAAATAAACGTCTGAGTTCTTATGGTGACATAGGATATGCCGCATTTGGAAATTTTGGAAGATATTTTTTGGTTGGAGTTTTTAATAACTCACTTCTGCTTGGTGTCCCTATATTATTCTTTATCCTGTCCGGACAAAGTCTTGATAATATTGTAGAACAAATTTGGGATATCAAATTAGGTGTTCGTTTATGGACCATAACATCTGCTGCTCTTGTAGCTTTACCGTTTGTATTCACGAAAACTTTGAAAGAAACGGTGATTTTAAGGTTTGTTTTAAATAAATAAATATTAATATTAATATAATAATAATATTAATATAATAATAATAATAATAATAATAATAATAATAATAATAATAATAATGATAATAATAATAATAATAATAATAATAATAATAATAATAATAA